CTCTGCTGATTTCAAGTACCACTCAAATGCATTTTTCTCATTTTTTTGTGTTCCGATTCCATTTTGATAACACTCACCAAGACTATATTGTCCTAATATATTTCCACCCTCTGCTGATTTCAAGTACCACTCAAATGCATTTTTCTCATTTTTTTGTGTTCCGATTCCATTTTGATAACACTCACCAAGACTATATTGTCCTAATATATTTCCACCCTCTGCTGATTTCAAGTACCACTCAAATGCTTTTTCCTCATCTTTTTGTGTTCCGATTCCATTTCGATAACAAAAACCAAGGTTATTTTGTCCTAAAATATTTCCGCACTCTGCTGATTTCAAGTACCACTCAAATGCTTTTTTCTCATCTTTTTGTGTTCCGATGCCATCTCGATAACACCAACCCAGATTATTTTGTCCTAATGTATCTTCGCCCTCTGCAGATTTTAAATACAATTGAAATGATTTTTTTTCATCTTTTTGAGTTCCGAAACCATTTTGATAACAAAAACCAAGAACGCATTGTATTCGAGCATCTCCGTTTTCAGCTAATTTGTAATGCCAGTCAAATATTTCACTATCATTTTTTGCGGTGTAACTTTCAAATTGTTGACAATGATTAAAAAGAATTTTTGAAGTAATATCTATTCTGACGTATAACTCTTCATATATTAGATAAATAATCCTAGGTTCATTGATTATTGCAATTTCATACTGATAAATGATATCAAGTAATTTGTCTGTATAAATAGATTGTAACAATGTTTTTCTATTGTTATCAATTTCATTTTGTCTTATGGCTCGGACTATTGAGTTTATTCTTAAAGCTATCTCTTTCAATTCTTCATTTTCGGAAGAAAGTATTCGTCGAAAGATATTTAATAGTCCTTCATGGAGTATTAAACCACTAAATTCATTAACTTCCATGGTGGAAACACACCAAGCGGTAGAGAATGAATGTTACATGTATATGTACATGTATATGTTCATGTATATATGTATGTACATGTATGTATGTATGTACTGGAACGTCATCCTTCGACCAAGATTTCCGCTCTCTTATCGTTATCTTGTGTGTATTACATGTACATGTACTTGCTCTTTAATTCATAAATATTTTATTATGTAAGTTTATGTTTTTATTTTGTAAATATAATTTATGAAGCTTGTCATAATTTTGAGGGTTCAAAAATTTATTATTATATAAAGGTCACCTAATTAATTTCTTTTTATTTAGATAAAATGTTAATAATTGCACGAATTCACCATAAATAATAAATTATACTATTAGCTTCAAAAAATATTTTTTAAAATTAAATACTCAACTCTCTTTCTCATGCATAACTATTTTCATATGCGTTTAGGATGACATATCGTCATAAAGTTAAATCCAGATTTTAAAAAATTTTTAATGTCATTCAATATTTTTTCTCCGCTGATTCTGATACCTTAACATCTACTAAGTTTGACATGCACCGATGAATTTAAGTACTATTGAAATGCCTTTCATGACCCTATAACATTTCACTAATGAAATATTTGTTTTTCAAATTTTCGTACTCTCCAATTTAATACACTCAAGTACATTGTATTCATCTTTTTTGTGTTCTTATGACTTGGTAATAACAATCGTCAAGGCTGGATTTTTTAATCTGCCGATCTAATACTGTTACCAACATAAATCTTAAATAACGTTATTGTCAACCAATGATACCTATACTAATTTTATCGCATAATATTTCTGTTCAATGTTACATGTACAGTCGTCGCAAAAAGCAACACCCGATTTTTTAAAAATGAAAATTTAGATTTATTTCATTTCTGTCCTATGTATATAAAACTATTTTTTATCACTAGCTGATACATTATTAGCTCTTCATATGGCCTAAAAAGCCAACACATCAAATTTCCTTCAGAGTAGTCTTGAGCTTTTTCATGATCCTCGGGAAGCTTTTGCATTTTTGAATATTGTTCTCCAATGACTTGCAGATATTTTTATGAAGTTAGAGTCAAAACAATGCAATTTTATTGATTTTCTCTATTTGAATTTATTTCATTTTTTCTTCCCTAATATAGATCAAGTGTTATTTTTTTGAATCATCAGGTTCTCTCAAATGAATGAATGAACAAATCATATTATGAAAAGGAACCAAATTCCCTTAGAGAATCTTCAGGTAAGTTTTTGCACTTATCAATGTCATGAAATAGCTCGGGATATCTTTTTTAGTTTCTTGCATATATGCATTTTTTTTCTTAATGGTTATGAGCCTATGGTCTCTCAGACAGTGGTAAATTTTTGTTTTTCCTGTTTCTTTTGTACTTGGCAAGAGACAATTATACTCTTACCAGGTTATGTCACATTTTTCTTGCAACTTTTTTGGCACTCATGGCTTCAATAAAATTCACTATTTTTATCCTTGTCAAAGATGGGCCTACTGGTATGACAGGTATCATATTTATACCTAAAAAATTTCACCTAGTGTATGTTTAACAAAAAATGGGAAACGCATACATGTATATTTACATTATGTTGATACACATGCAAATCGGGCGTTACTTTTTGTGGCGACTGTACATTTTTACATGAACATGTAATTTACATTTTAATACTCTCTTTTGTATTTTCTTCTGCGTATGATTGTACAATTTCTCCTGCAATTTCTTCTGTGATTGACATTGTATTTTCTCTTATAATTATGTACGTAAGTTTCGCTGATGGGGTGTCTGAAATCACGTGAATCGCACAAGTAAATAGCTGAGAAAAATGTTTAAAAGGAGAATCTTTTCAACAAGGTGTTTCACGCTTAATCAAATAACTTTGTAAGCTTACCTTTACTTGTTACTTATTTTTCCATTGATTAACTTCAAATCTTGTCTTCTGTACAAGTAGTGGAGGTCCGTCACTATAAACAAATCATATTTTGAATCTATATTATTTTGTTGGCAGAAACTAAGTCCAACCATTGCTTTTAAACACTTTAGTTTTTTGGTTAACTGAAATCATTCGAATTTTTTGTTACCAGTTTACGCTAATAAGTACTGTTGAATAGTCTTTTTGCTGTTAGTCATCAGAAACCTCCTTGAAATCAATTTTTATTATTTCCGCTTTTATCGATTTGCGTGCAAGTAATCACGGAAACCTATATAACATTAAAGAGCCCCTTTAATTGTAAATTATTTAGTCTAACACCCTTAATTCAACTACACCTTTTTAAAGTTAGACGTAACAATACCACCCAAACATTTTTTCTAACCTTTTCGAGTTCGCATACCATTCTATTTATTTTAAATGCCATTCAAAAACTTTTTGAATACCTATTTGAAAAAGTTCATAGATCTTCATATTTGGCTTATGGGTTATATATATATATATATGCATTCTGAAATTTTTCCGAGCAATATTTAAGATTATTTTGGTAAATTATTTTGTTGTAAAATAGTTACATTGAATTTCCAATAAAAAGAGGAGGTTCATGCTCAAAATCCCGGATGTAAAACATCACAAATGTATGAAATACCAAATATTTCATGATTTTGAGATTTCGTTTGTCGGGCTTATGAACGTTCGGTTAATTTCTTCGGGATTTCGTACCAGACCAAATATTTTGCGCTTATTTTTATCCTTGAAAAGGTTGTAAGGTGGTAAGAACTGACCTTACTCGTAATTCCTACAAAAAATACTTTCTATATAAACAAGACAAATTCAAACAGTGGTTTCTAATATAGTAGTTGAGGAAAAATTTATTTTTAATGGTTGATGGTTAATCAATGAGAAGTCATTAATAAACATTTGCCAGTGCAATTATCTTATAACTATTTTCGCCTCTGTTATAATAATTGTTTTTTCTTTTCTTTTATTATCAATATTATTGATGAAAATACTTAAAGAGTATTATAATTTTCGCATTTTCTCAAACGTCAAATTCTAAAAATCAGCAGTTTCTTATATTAATTAGAACTTGGTTTGAATCTCGGACGAAAGCAATTGTACAAATAACATTTAGGTTTAAGTTTTAAAATAAATAATTGTGAACTGCGTAAAAAGGGGGTGGGTGTTGTAACGAAGGCGGGTAATATGGCGAGCTATTAAAAGAGCGAATGGGCATTGCTGTGCAGCTGTCGCAGACCTTCCTAAATGCAATATCTCTCTTAATGCAAGCACAAACTCTGGCTTAAATATATACTTAACTCCATAAATGTGTTTTTTCTTATTGCTCTTTTTTATTCATATCAGTCAAACATGGTATCATGACTAATTTTCCTTGAAATGTCCAAAGAAATTTTGTTTACTTCCAATGCTTAAAAAACTAATCCGATTATTTCGGTAAAATAACAAGTGGCCCCATATTTCTTATATTACGCCTCCGCCAACACTTGCGCAGATTGTTATAATAATGTGAATCGACTTAATATTAATACAAATGAGGCATATTTAGATGACAACTTATTGGTTCCGTGTGCGATATTGTAATGAAAAACATATCGACTAATTACTTAGTTCGAGGACAAATTCTAATTTTCATTTTTCTAACTTGGAAAAATATGTTTATTTTTTTTTCTCCTAACTGATGAAGTCATTGTCTGATTATATGAAGAATGAATAAATATTGCAAGTTCCGTCTTCATTTTTGTTTCTTTTTGCACTTTTCATCATCATCTCCAATCAACTTTATATGACAAGTTTTCGTTTATTTTCTTTTCATTTTTTTCAGTTTTTTGCATTCTATTCCAATTACTCCAATTTCAATATTTCGGTAACCACGAGATAAGTATATAATTTTCATGACAATCGTTAGCATTATCTGCTAGAGTTTATGAAATAAAAAATAGCAGTATCAAAATGTAAATAAGTTTATAATGTATTTTTTCCAATCTCAAATGTGATCATATCTATGACATCATATAATGAAATATTTATTATAAATAAAAATCGGTTATCTATCAAATATAAATATTAAAAAAATCGAAAATCTCCTTTATAATTTGTAGACTAATTCTTTTTTTCACTTTACACCAAAGAAACTCGCCGAATAAACCTCGTCAACCAACTCCTGCTCCCCACAAGCCACCACATCTCGCCAATTTACACTCTTTCTTACCTCCTCCCAATTGTCCGAGACATACTCCAACGCGACCCTCTTCAATGTGACATTGCCAATTCGCCACGCAAACATCAACACTTGATCCCAATCTTTACTTTTTCCGAGACACTTCAATCGTGACTCCACAGCTTTCTGGAGATTATCAATGCCCATCATGTCAGCCTTTGAGTGAATCTCGAATAGCGTTTCGAACGAGAGATTTTGTTTCAGATTGCCAGTGTACAAGTAATTGATCATTGCCTGGAATGAGGAGTAGGTGATATCTTTGATTGGAATCGTGGAAAGAGATGATTCTAGAAATCCGCCGGTAAATAATGTCTTGAAATATGCAGAAGCAGTGCCGAGTACTAATCGATGTGCTTTTATACGTAATCCGCAATCCAAAATAAATTCAACGTCACAAAATGTTTCGTCGTCCAAGTAATCGGAACTTTGACGCGGCAGTTGACTATTATTTTGTGGTGGAGCTATGGTAGAGTATAGCATCTTATTATTATTTAACGAACTGTGATGATGTTGATTGTTGATACTCTCATTCTCAATATTTCCTCGACAAACTTGTTCGAATCTAACTCTTAAAATCAAATCAACCGATTCTTCGTCACTCTCGTTTCTCTTTACGCAATTTCCAAAGATATCATCGAATTTCGCAAATGTCAAAAATCGATTATGATAATTTCGATCACGACCAAAAAAAAATTTTCCGCATGGTTCGGAACGAGTCGAAATCAACTCTAGATTCTCGGAATCTTCATCTCTATTGATGACGCGAAACAGATCAAGTGTGTAATTGACAATTCTCTTTGTGATACCTCGTGAGAGTTCATAGGTCGTTTTGTAGCCAATTAACATAGTCGCAAGGTGATCTGGATTTGTGGTAGTGCCTTTGGGCCAGATACCTAGACGCCAGAGGTAAGATGCTTCTTCCTCTTCCGTTTCGTTTTCTTTGAGAAAGCATGATTGTGATCTAACTTTTGTAGTTTGTGATGAATCAATGGAAATTCCTGGTGATAAAAAAGTTTCACTTAGAATTGGACTGTTGATTAGAATTCTTTCGTTATAATGTTGAAAATCGTAGAGTTTCCAGTTGAAAACAAAGGAAAATTTTTTATTATTATTGTTGTTATTATTGTTGTAGTGGTTGTTGTTGTTGCTATTATTATTATAATAATTATTATTATTGATGATAGATTGCATATTATTATTGGTGGTTGCTTGTTGTTAATTGATATATCGTATCGATATGAGTTAAATTTAAATAAAAAATAATTTCCATGCAAATTTCTGTTGAAAGATATCAATATCATAGATATCAAGGAATAATTCTCAAAAAGTAAATTCTATTAATAATAGACGTTATACAAACTTGCAAACAAATCATGTACATAAACATGTAATCTTCTAGAATGTTCGCGTGATAGAGCTCGTGACTATTTGCCTTTATTTGGGTAACGATGGAAAAAATGGTAGTATACAAAATGACGATTAATCTGGTAATGTAGAAAATTATTTTGGCTTTATAAAAACAAATTCTACAGATGAACAATACAAAAAAAAAAGGTTTATCGTTATCGTTATGTAATACCACATGTAGTTAGTTTGTGTGATATGATTTACCTTTAATTAATCGAATACAAAATTTCATAACGATTATAATACGCACAAGAATTTGCCACGAAAAATTTATCTTTGATTAAATACGCAATGATTGCACCGTTTCCAAATGAAGTTTGGATAAATCTCGTTAAACAATATTTTAAAATCTCTGGGTATTTCTTTTTGCTCTACAGAATAGATCTGAATACATGTTTTTGCTTTTTGAATTATTGAAATACTAATAATATTTGTTTATTTGAACTAGGCTTCGGGAAACTTGGTTGTTACGAGGAATTTCTCATGATTTCAGATCATTTGTTGTGTCTGCTATTTATGAGGAGTTCAAAGAGAACTTTGAATGCTTCGTAAAGATCTTTAGATGGGTACTGTAATTTTCTTTGATCGTAAATTTTAAGTACAACGTAATTAAAAGATTCTTTTGACAAAGTAGAAGAAAGATGTTGAACTATGCAGCCGCACATTCGAGTACACGAATATCTCATTATTACAACCATCGACCACCAGCCGAAACATAAACAACGAACTGTATGTCATACTTAAGCCAGCACATCACAATGGCAAATTAATTGAGGAAGAAGAAACGCTTCTCACCCAAATACGCGTGCATATCTATCTCTATTCAGAATTCACAAACGGGTACGGTAAAACATACATTTCAGGTAAGAACCTGGTGTTGGATCCACGAGTGAAGTATCCGCGTAGAATGGCGTTTTCATTCTCGAATGAGAACCATCACGTTGATGTGTCACCGGTTGACAAAACTGTAGCCTCGATTGCGGAAACATCGGATGAGAACAAAAAGTTTTTCGAAGATTGTAAACTCTGTGAGATCAGGATTCCGCTGCTTATGGATTTTTCTAGTGTGGCATGCCGGTTGAATTTTCATTTTTAGTTGATCAATAGATGGATATTTTATTATTCCTATAGCAAGCAAGGCATTACGATGGTAATAGATAACTGACAATAATTTACATTAGAAAAATTTTAAAATTTGTAGTTCTGGCATGTTTCTATCTGCCAATTCAATAAGACGAATGTCAATCAAACAACGAATAAAATAGAAGCAACAATGCACATGTACATATATCTAACGCTAGTCTATATTTTAAATGAAATTATTTCTTCTAGGGTTGAACTCAAGTCTTTACATCCGACAGACCAGATGCATCATCCCAATTAATTACCACGAATAAGGATTTTGCACAATACTTTTATAAAACATATCAGACTTTCCGTTGTCAAATTTTGCGGCAAATTTCAAATTTGGACCAAGTAGGATTTGTATTTACTTCATTGTTTCCATAACTTTCAAATACTTGATTTTACCGGCACCTTGATCTTCTATGCTAATTGTAAAATTTCCTAAATCTTTCGCATGTAGTTCGCGCAACGGAGAGAATAGTTGAATGATTTTAGCTTGTCACATTAATAATACTGATAAAGACAATGATGTAAAATCAATTTGTGGTGTTGTATGCACAAGCTCTCTGAAAATTGATTAGTTAATAAGGGGGATTAGTAACCCGTGGAGGCGGATCAGACTAACTGTCTTTATTATTAGTTCTCTAAGGCCTGTTCCAATGAGATGTTTCCGAAATGCCTTTTACATGCACGTAGTGCACCAGTCACGAGCGTTTTACATCAATCTTCCACGAATAGATGTGATGTGCATGAGAATTTGCTTGGCAGTTTGCGTTTGTACATGTACACTATTTTAAACGGGTGCTGCCAAATCCCAAACGCTGAAAAGATCCCAAAAATCCGGAAACCCAAAATCCCGAAAGCCCCAACATCCCGAGATTTCCAAAATCCCCGACTCCTCACATCCCGACATTCGAAATAACGCCCATGCTCGCTCATTATAATTGGTTAATCAAAGTTTGACATATAATTACAAATACATGTACATAAAATGTCGTGATTCCAATTTTTAATCGATAAATGATATCGGAATTCAAAATAATCGCAAGGATAACAGTGATGATAATGAAAAGGAAAGACTCGATCTATTTGAACAACTATCCAAGAAATTTATTTCAGTCATAGACCCAGACCAATACATATTGCAATGCATCCCGTGCACAAATCCACACACAAACTTTCCGATCTTGAATTATTGTACACACTCAAACCGTCGTCAGCAGTACACCAAAATACGCATGCATGCTCGTACTTTTATACCAATATGGCGTTGGCACCAAGCAAGACAATTACCAAATTATAACAAAAGTGCAGCCGACAACGACGGCTTGTTTGAGGAACCAACTCGGCTGGTGCTACCAACAGGGAATTTACGTTAATTACGATCCGGAAAAAGCGTTCCACTGGTACATGAAATCAGCGCAACTTGGAAACGCAACGGGTCAATGTAATTTAACGTATTGCTACAAAAATGGGATTGGCACGCAGATTTGTAAGAATTGGGAGTTTTATTAGTTTCTGAAGAGTGCGCGGGGCGGAACTGCTGATTCGCAGTTTAATTTGGCGAGTTTTATCGATATGGCGTGGGGTTTAATTGTGATTTGCATGAAGCTATAAAAAGGATGATTTTTGTGAGTGAATTCTACAGAATGTCGTGGATATGGCGTTTTGATTAGAACAAGAGTTGTAATTGTGTTTAGAAAAATTTTTGCGCATATTTATTTTTGAAACTCAAAATTATTAGAAATTTGCTATTAGAAATATATTTAATGAATCTTCAATGAAGAGAAAACACAGTCAAAATGCCGCAAAAAATTAAACAGTATAGTTTATCTTGATTATAATTTAATTCTGAATTTTGAATTCACGTCCTTTATTAACACATAATCAATTATTATATATAGTAACAAACATATAAAAAGTGGAAATTTTCAAGTATATACATTTATTCTTATTACTTTTAATAATTTATTTCATCGTTTAACTGTGAGAGACTTAAGATGAAGAGTGTTTTAATTATAAAATCAAGAAAAAGATTTATAAATGTTTTATTTCAAATCGGCGATATTTTGTGAGGATTACTGTACATTTAGTAAGTTAAGTGCTATAATTTATTTATTTTTTAAATTCCTTTTTCAAGAAAATGCCATTTGTCTTTCGTTTGAGTTGACGAAAATGTAATTGTCTAGAGTTACAAATTAAAGTTTATAGTCAAAACTTATTTAACTGTGTATTAAAAATACATGGATAAAAAGTAAAACCCAGGTTATTTAGCATACGTAATAAATTTTCAATTACTTCTTTACGTTCTTCTTTTTGTCGTTTATGTCCCCATTTCTAACCTCAGTTAAATATCTGCTTCTTTCAGTTCTATTGACAATTTAATTTTAATTCACATTTCTTCACTTCATTAGTTCGATTAATTGTCTTTGGCTCTTTGTTGGATCGTAGAAGTAGTGTTGTCACGTCATCAAATCCAGTTATTGGCTGGACCATATTGGTCTTACAGCAGCTCACTTAACGTTAAGAAATGAGATACCACAGAGGAATATAATCATTCGTTAATATCATGATTTCTATTTAACAATTTTTCTTGAAATTATTTAAACAAAATCAACTAATCTTTCTAAAATTCTTTAACGTTCCGTGTAAATTGCCCGATCCGAGGACGACATTTAAAGGTAGAATTCTTTTTTATTGATTATATAAGCTAAATAATATTCATAAAATATAAATAATAAATGTAAATATATGTAGAGTAAGGGTAATGTAAAGACTAGCACAAATTCTATCTTTACAATTATTTACGATATTGGTTATTACACGCGCCTATATACATTTCGTATCAATGTTTTATGTCATAATGTGTATTGTCGGGATTTTAGTATGTCGGAATTTTTGATGTTGGGAGTTGGAATTTTGTGCATCGAGATTTTGTGCGCCGGGATGTTGAAATTTTGGGGACCTCGGGATTAGACTTTCGGGATTTGGGTGTCGGGATTTTGTGCATTCGGGATGTTGAACGTTCAGCATCGGGAGTTTGGTATAAAATCCATTTTAAACAGATTTTTTAGAATTTATTGTTTTAACTAATCTTTATGAATTGCATTATAAAGTATGCGGCGTAAAACCAAAGCATAGTAGACGATACTTTGAAGATAAAACATATGGTGCAAATTATGATGGTGTAAAGCATGTAATCCATTGTGACGATTAACGACGACGTTTCGTTACGTAGAGAATTATTGAAGGATTTTTGAACATAGAGCTGGAATATTATAGTCATGACAATTGGTTCCTATACCGATATCTATGATATCGTTGGACAAAAGCAAATATGAAAGTAAAAGTGGTAGCTTGCACGGTCTCTCTCCTTGTCTTTGATTCCAGTTCTAATGGTTGCATTCTCTAGATAAAAGCCTTAAACTCTTTCAATTCAAATACATAATTGCAATGTCTTTTCTCAACAAAAGGAACTAACCAATAGTTTTTTGATTACAATGACTTTTTTAGTTCAAAGAATCCAACCCACAAACACAATAACATTCACAAGCAGAAAAGGAAGAATTGTATGCAATTCTGGCAGCATTCAGTAAGTATTTCTTTATTAATATACTAAGAAACCAAGTTTGATAAGACAATTAATTATTTTTTTATTTTTTATATGCTAATTATTATTTTTATGAACACAGTTTTATATACTTTTGTTATACTGACGAAAAGTAATGGCGGTTAAATTTATTTAAAAAATAGAATTGTCTTACATAACAATTTTATCTGAAATTTTATTTATATAATATATATAATTAAAGTATTATATTTTATAAATATTAATATTTTATCTATTTTTGGTTGATAAGTAAATTTTTATTTATATATTTATTTTTATATCTTTTAATATATACAATAATTTTAAATAGCATTTTGAAATGACTATAATTATATTAGCTAAATAACTTTAATTAATTACATAAGACAGATTTCTTAATATATTTTTTGAAATATTAAGCATTATTTGTAAATATTCCAATTTAATATAATTGTAAATAATTTTTAATATTTCAAAATTATCTTAAGAAATATTATTCAATTGAATAATTTATATTTATAATATAAATTTTAGTAAAATAAATATTTTTTATAATCTTTAATATTGATTTAATGATCAGCTTGTCATTACTTTCTATCAGAATTTTACTATTTAATTATTTATGCAAGTTTATCTTAATATAATAAAGTTTATATATTTAAAGACTTGAAGAATCTCTATTATATTAAAAGATTTTTTATATTATATATATTATTAAATTAAATAAAATTATTAATTAAGAAATTTTAAGATTTATTATATTATATTTACTTTTAAATCTCAAGCTTTATCAAAAAATTCTCAATTTTATATTTAGCTAAATTTATTTTTATATTTTAAAAAAATATATAATATATAATTATTAAATATATATAGTAATATAAATAAATATATATATAAAAATATAATTGATTAAAGTTAAGTTTTTATTATATTAAGATTGACTTGTATTAATTTTAATTAGCTATTATATAATTTATTAGCTTAAAATATAATAATATATAATAAAAAATAATTAAAAAAAATAATTTTATAAGTAAACTCATTAAAAAATAATAAATAAAATTTTAAAACAAATATAAATTATTATTTTGAATAGAAAACAGAATTTATATTTAAAAATATAATTTATTTAAGAATTTCAAGATATAAAAAAATAAATATATTCTAAATTTAATTAATTAATTATTTTAATTAAAGATAATATTAAATATTAATAATAATTACTTCTTATTTTTATTATAAAATATATAATAAATATATTTTTTATAATTATAATTAATTAATAACTAAAAATTTAAAAAAGATAATTATTTAAGATATAATTATAAATAGATATAATTATAAAGATTTGACTATATATTTAATTGCCATTTTTAATTATTAATTAATAAATATACTAATTTAAAAATTAATTAAACAGATATAAATTATTATATTAAATTTAGTATTATTATATCAAATTTAATATTAATTATTTTTATTAATTCAAACTTAATTATGAAAATAAATTTTAATTACTTTTAAAATTATTATTTTAAAATATTTAAATAAATTTTAAAAAATAATAATAACTAATTATTATAAAATCACTTTATTTAAAACTTTTTATTATTTTATTTTTTAATCTTTTTTAATTTTATAATTTATATATAAAATAAATTTATATAAATAATTTAAGAAAAATTTAATATTTTAAAAATTTAAAACTATATATAATATTTAATAATAAAAAATATAATAGTATATAAATATCAAAGTTAATAAATAAAATTTAATTGTTAATTAATTTTAAATATAATAAATAAAATTATAATTAAAAATAAAATATAATTTAATAATAATAAAAAGTTAAAAATAATAAAAAAATAATAATAAAATTAAAAATAATAACTTTTATAATTATAAATTATATTAATATTTAGTTATAATAAATAATTATTTAAATAAAAATTTAATAACTAAATAATTTATTAAATAATTATAATTTTTAATTAATTTCATAATTTTATCTTTTATTATTTAATATTAATTAATTTTAGAATATTATAAACTTAATTAAAAAAATAAAAATTCATATAATAATTTATTATTTTATATATTCTTTCTTAGTATAAATTATTATTATCATAGTAATATTGTTACCATAGTAATATAAATTTCTTTAATTCAATAATTTTTCTTTAATTATAAAAAAAAACTCTCTTTTTCTTTTACACTATAATTTATCACATAATTTATCATATAATTTTGAATTATTTTTATCTAATTATCTCGTTGTATTTAAATTCTAAG